CTGCACATGGCTAGCCAGTTTTCCCAGCACCATTTATTAAACAGGGAATCCTTTCCCCATTGCTTGTTTTTGTCTGGTTTGTCAAAGATCAGATGATTGTAGATGTGTAGTGTTGCTTCTGAGGTCTCTGTTCTGTTCCATTGGTCTATATCTCTGTTTTGGTACCAGTACCATGCTGTTTTGATTACTGTAGCCTTGTAGTATAGCTGGAAGTCAGGTAGAATGATGCCTCCAGCTTTGTTCTTTTTGCTTAGAATTGTCTTGGCTACGCAGGCTCTTTTTTTGTTCCATATGAAGTTTAAGGTGGTTTTTTTTTCCAGTTTTGTGAAGGGGTTCATAGGTAGCTTGATGGGGATAGCATTGAATCTATAAATTACTTTGGGCAGTATGGCCATTTTCACAGTGTTGATTCTTCCTAAACATGAGCATGGAATGTTTTTCCATCTGTTTGTGTCCTCTCTTATTTCCTCAAGCGGTGGTTTGTAGTTCTCCTTGAATAGCTCCTTTAAATCCTTAGTTAGTTGTATTCCTAGTTATTTTCTTCTCTTTGTAGCAATTGTGAATGGGAGTTCACTCACAATTTGCCTTTTTTAAATCTGTTATTGATGTATGGGAATGCTTGTGATTTCTGCACATTGATTTTGTATGCTGAGACTTTGCTGAAGTTGCTTATCTGTTTAAGGAAATTTTGGGCTGAGATGATAGAGTCTTCTAAATATACAATCATGTTGTCTGCAAATAGAGACAATTTGATTTCCTTCTTTCCTGATTTAATATCCTTTATTTCTTTTCCTTGCTTGATTTCTCTGGCTAGAACTTCCAATGCTATGTTAAATAGGAGTGGTAAGAGAGGGCATCCTTGTCTAATGCCAGATTTCAAAGGGAATGCTTCCAGTTTTTGCCCATTCAGTATGATATTGGCTATGGGTTTGTCATAAATAGCTTTTATTGTTTTGAGATATGTTCTTTCAATACCTAGTTTATTGAGAGTTTTTAGAATAAAGCATTGTTGAATTTTGTTGAAGGCTTTCTCTGCATCTATTGAGATAATCATGTGGTTTTTATCTTTGGTTCTGTTTATGTGGTGGATTGTGTTCCATGAAGTTGTGTGGTTCTGAGTCAGTTTCTTAATACTAAGTTCTAATTTGATTGCCCTGTGTTCTGAAAGACTGTTTGTTATGATTTCCATTCTTTTGCATTTGCTGAGCAGTGATTTACTTGCAATTAGTGGTCAATTTTGGAGTAGGGGCCATGTGGTGCTTAGAAGAATGTATATTCTTTGAATTTGTTGTGGAGATTTCTGTAGATATCTACTAGGTCTGCTTGGTCCAGATCTGAGTTCAACTCCTGGATATCCTTGTTAATTTTCTGTCTCATTGATCTGTCTAATATTGACAGTGGAGCATTAAAGTCTCCCACTACTATTGTGTGGGAGTTTAAGTCTCTTTGTAGGTCATTAAGAACTTGCTTTATGCATCTGGGTGCTCCTGTATTGGGTGCATTTATATTTAGGATCATTAGCTCTTCTTGTCGTGTTGATTCTTTTACCATTATTTAATGCCCTTCTTTGTCTCTTTTGATCTTTGTTGGTTTAAAGTCCATTTTATCAGCGACTTGGATTGCAACTTCTGCTTTTTTTTGCTCTCCATTTGCTTGATAAATCTTCCTCCATCCCTTTATTTTGATCCTATGTGTGTCCTTGCACATGAGATGGGTTTCCTGAATACAGCACACTGATGGGTCTTGAGTTGTTATCCAATTTGCCGGTCTATGTCTTTTGACTGGGGCATTTAGCACATTTACATTTAAGGTTAATATTGCTATGTGTGAATTTGATCCTGCCATTTGATGCTAGCTGGATGATTTTCCCATTAGCTGACACATTTTCTTCATTGTATCAATGGTCTTTACCATTTGGTATGTTTTTGGAGTGGCTGGTACTGGTTGTTCCTTTCCTTGTTTAGTGCTTCTTTCAGAAGCTCTTATAAAGCAGGCCTGGTGGTGATGAATTCTCTCAGTAATTGCTTGTCCGTAAAGGATTTTATTTCTCCTTTCCTTATGAAGCTTACATTGGCTGGATATGAAATCCCAGGTTGAAAGTTCTTTTCTTTAAGGATGTTGGGTATTGGTCCCCACTCTCTTCTGGCTCATAGGGTTTCTGCCGAGAGATTTGCTGTGAGCCTGATGGGCTTTCCTTTGTGGGTAAACCGACCTTTCTCTCTGGCTGCCCTTAGCATTTTTTCCTTCATTTCAACCCTGGTGAGTCTGAAGATTATATGCCTTGGGGTTGCTCTTCTTGAGGAATATCTTTGTGGTGTTCTCTGTATTTCCTGGACTTGAATATTGGCTTGCCTCACTAGGTTGCAGAAGTTCTCCTGGATAATGTCTTGAAGAGTATTTTCCATCTTGGATTGATTATCTCTGTCACATTCAAGTACAACTATCAAACGTAGATTAGGTCTTTTCACATAATCCCATACTTCTTGGAGGCTTTGTTCATTTCTTTTCACTCTTTTTTCTCTAATCTTGCCTTCCTGTTTTATTTCATTGAGTTGATCTTCAATCTCTTACATCCTTTCTTCTGCTTGGTCGATTCGGCTATTGAAACTTGTGTATGCTTCGTGAAGTTCTCATGCTGTGTTTTTCAGCTCCATCAAGCCATTTATATTCTTCTCTAAACTGTTTATTCTAGCTAGCATTTCATCAAACATTTTTTCAAGGTTATTAGTTTCTTTGCCTTGGGCTATCGTGTGTTCTTTTAGCTCTGAGAAGTTTGTCATTACCGACCTTCTGAAGCCTGTTTCTCTCAATTCATCAGATTCATTCTCCATCCAGATTTGTTCCCTAGCTGATGAGGAGTTGTGATCCCTTGGAGGAAAAGAAGCATTCTGGTTTTGAGTGTTTTCATCCTTTTTGCACTGGTTTCTTCCCATTTTCCTGGCTTTATTTACCTGTGGTCTTTGTAGTTGGTGACTTTCGGATGGGGTCTCTGAGTGGACATCTTTTTTGTTGATGTCGAAGGTATTTCTTTCTGTTTCTTAATTTTCCTTCTTACAGTCAGGCCTCTCTGTTGTAGGACTGCTGGAGGTTTACTCCAGACCCTGCTTGCCTGGGGATCACCTGCAGCCACTGCAGAACAGTAAACATTGTTGCTGGTTTCTTCTTCTGTTATCTTCATCCCAGAAGGGTACCTGTCAGATGTCAGCCTGAGCTCTCCTTTATGAGGTGTCTCTTTGGGTATACAGGGGTCGGGGAGCTGCCTGAGGAGACAGTCTGTCCCTTATAGGAGCTCAAGTGCTGTTCTGGGAGCTCCATTGTTCCATGCAGAGCTGCTGGGCAGGTACATTTAAGTCTGCTGCAACAGAACTCATAACTGCCTCCTTTCCCAGGTCCTCTTTCCTAGGAAGATTGGGCTTTATTTATAACTTCCTGATGTGCTGCTGCCTTTTTTTTCATAGATGCCCTGCCCCACATGTAGATAGTCTAGCCACAGTCTGCCAGCAGAGGAGTTGCTGAGCTGCCGTGGGCTCTGCCCACCTGCTGTGTGAACTTCCTTGAGGAAGTTAGAACTGCCTCGGTATTGGCAGATGCCCTTCTCCCCACCGAGCTGAACCGTCCTGGGTCCAGCTGTGCTTGCTGCAAAACTCTCAATCCAGAGTGCTTCAGATTGTTTGTTTTGTTGGGGTGGTACCCGCTGAGCCAGATCACCTGGCTCCCTGTCTCAGCCGCCTCCCTTTCAATTGAATGGTGGCTCTGTCTCCCAGGCATTCCAGGCACCAGTTGAAACTGCCACCCAGGTTTGTGTGAGTTTCTGTGCACCAACCTGTGTCACCGGCTGAAGCAGCTATGCTGGAAACTCATGGTGCTTTTGGGCCTGGGAATCTCCTGGGCTGTGGGCAGTGAAAACTCGTTTGGAAATGCAGTGAACACTCAACCTCTGGGAGTGTTCTTTCTGGAAAAAGCTCTCTGGAGCTGTTCCTATTTGGCCATCTTGGATCTTCCCTCCCATTTAGAGATTTCATAATGCCAGAATTCTTGTACTGGTTATTTCTCATCTGGGGACACTGGCACTTCCAATTTTTATAAATATTTCTATGGAGATAGGGTTTTTTCTGTTTCGCTATAACATTATTCTTTTTTATTTTCTTCTGTCCCTTTCCTTTACCCACCCTCTCTAGCCGGTGTGACTGTAGAGAAGATTGGGTAGGGTCTTTTGGCTTTTCTTCTATAGCCCTATTGGACTTCTGTCAGCAGGTTTTATATTGGGCTGTGCAGTTTGACCTACCATCCAGTAGATGGTGCTTATGAATAGGAGCCCCCTGTGGCCAACAAGGCTTGGTATATACTTTAAAAAGAACAAAAAACAAAAAAGCACACACACTTTATTGAGGTATATATTGATATGAACAACACATGTGAAGCATACAGTTTACAGTGTTTTCACCTACCCTGTAAACTGTACACTTTACATGTGTCATTCATGCCAATGTATACCTCAATAACATTGATGGAGTTGGAGGCCATTATCCTAAACAAAGCAAGGCAGGAACAGAAAGCCAAACACCGCATGTTTTCACTTATAAATGGGAGCTGAATGATGACCACACATGGACACATGGGGAGAACAACACATACTAGAGCCTGCCTGAGAATTAGGAGAGGGAGAGCATCGGAAAGAATAGCTAATGGAATCTGGGCTTAATACCTAGATGATAGGAAGATCTGTGCAGCAAACTACCATGGCACACATTTACCTATGTAACAAACCTGCATATATTAAAATAAAAATTGAAGAAATAAAAGGCTTGGTATATACTTCATCCTTGTTTACTGGGAGGAGCTCTCTGTTGCCTTTGGCAATTGATCTGTGAAGCGTAGGGTGGTCTGAGCTCACTCCTCAACCCTGGGATGATGGGGAGGAAGCTAGGCAGGTCCTGACCAGTCAGGTCGCTGGTGGCAGGCACACACATCAGCACCAAGGGAGAATTCACTGGGCCACAACCAACTGCCCAGAGGTTTGCCTAGGCATGAAGCTGGGAAATCTCTTTATCTCCAAGTTAGATGCATGGGGATCGCAGGCAGCCTAAACGTTTAACCTAAGACAGTGAGTGCTCCTGATGTCTGGTAATCTGCCTGGATGTCAAGAGGAAATGGCCCACAGTACCATGATCTCTGCACAGGAAGGGTCAGGCAAGTCAAGCTGTCACTCTGGGTGAACGGGCAGCAGTTTGAATGCCTGGAGATATGCCTCAGTGTCAGAGAGGGCCCCACTACACCATGATCTATGCATAATAGGGACAAGACATCTCAGGTTGCTGGATCCAGATAACGTGGTGCTGTGAATGCCTAGAGATCTATCTGGGTGTTGAGTGGAGATGGTCCTGCTACACCATTATCTACACTCAAGAAGAGTAGAGCAGCACAGGCAGCTGGTCCTGGCAAGTGCGTGCTCCAAATGCCTGAAGTTCTGCCTGGGGATGGGGTGGAAAGGGCCCTCTCCACCTTTACTTCTAGGGGAGTAGGCTGGGGCACTCAGCAATGACACGCACATACTTGGTCCAGATCAGCAAGCTGGTCCTGCCTGCAAGTCTCATTACCCAGGAGAAACTATAGCTGTAGCGACTCCCAAACCACCCCAAGCCTGTGACAGGGGAGAGCAGCATTCCAACACCCACTACCGAGGTGCTTTTTGCAATTCTGGCTGTGGAAGTCCCTACCTTGTTCTAGAATATGTGCTCTAATTTCTGGCCCAAAACTAAAATATCTGAATGACCATGCTGCCAGGTCATCAAAGAACAGCTGACTTTGTATCCACCTGGATTTAGAATGGTGACCTGCTTTTGGTCTTGGGTCTGGAAAAATGCCTGCAGCTTTTCCCGGTGTCTTTCCCTCTATGTACCTCTAACCCTCTCTTCAAGTTAGCTCCAGGTCTTGGGAGAAACAAAGTGCTCTCCCTTGATCTGGATTGCTTAGACCCCCAGTGTAAAGGTGAGTCACAGAGCGAGCATCTCTGCCTCTCTCATGTACTGGGGTTTCATTTACTTTTATCAGCTGTTGTCATGGGGGCTATTTGCCACTCACATTCTTCTTCCCATAATTTGGAGTTTCCTTCATGATTTCAGTGGACTCAAGTTTTCCTTCTTGAATTAGAACTTAGGCAGTTGATGTTTATGCACTATTTTTCTATTTTCAAAGGACTGAGGCATGCCAAAAAGCCTCTTATTTGTCATCTTGGAAAAAAAAAAACAGATTTTATTGATTGTTGGATATGTTTCACACTTAATACTAATATCCATAAAATATTTCATTCAATCTCCAGGCCGTGAAGTAACTACCATTTACCCAGTTTTATAGGGGAGAAAATGAAGGGTTAGAGAGTCTAAATTTCCAAGCAGCCAATGTTTATGAATAAGATGCCAAATTCTCATCTAACATTCCTGTATTATTCTTCATAACTTCAGATCTTTTCCCTTGTACTTTTGAGTCTTGATTACTTGAAAGTATGTTTACTTAAGAAAATGTAATAGAGGTGGCATAGTGTTTTGCAGCATTGCTTGCCAAGAGAAAGCTATTCTCTTCATTCTTTGATGAAAAGAAAATCAACTCTAAGGTACTCAGTTCTCCAATTAGCAATAGCATTTTCTTCTGGGCTTCAATCCTTTATGGTTTACCTTTCTCTGACCTGGGCTCCTCATTTTTCAATCTGATTCGGGGCTGATTGACAGAGGAAATAAAGCAAATGAAAACTATGCTTGCCAACACTGGGTTTGCTCTTTGTCAACTGAAGCGATTGGCTCTAATGCAGTATTTGTAGTATAAATCAATTAGCTTTATTCACTGAACCAAA